TACTGACTCTTGTGAAATCTCTTCAACAGGAAACTCAGCTGGCACAGACCTTGTCTTTGGACTTTGCTGTTCACAACATCCAGGCAGGAGCCTAGTAAGGAGTAGAAAGAAGCACCACTAGAAGCAAAGTAGCATAGACCTGTGCAAGTGTTGCTGACCACAGAAACAGCCATCAAGACAGCTGAACATGGGTAGACCCATTGCTGCAGTCTGCAACCACAGCATCATGTCCAGAGAAGCTACAATTACTAGGAACCAGCATGGGACTGGAACGAGACGGGCTTCTGTTCATGAAACCATTTATTCAGCATGGGAACAAACTCAGATTCAGGGACAGAGAGCCCCTGTTATAAATTGTCGTGACTAAATCAGAGAGCCAATTTAAATGATCATTCATGAAAATCAATTTAATTAATTCAGCAAGCGGGCCGGGGAGTCTCCACTCCACCAGCAGCGGTGCCTTGGCTGATAAAGTTTCCCCTTATATACAGTTCATATTTCCTGTATACGTGTCTTCATTACTTTTCCTGGGCTGCATCTGTGCTTGTGTCGCTAGTTGCTAGGTGGTTGTAATCTGCCTCATTCTTGATGTGAGCGCGCAGGCATTGGTTCTATACCAGTTATACGACTTCTAATGAGATGTTCTTGTTATTGTTTGTACAACTGGATATTGTGGTTTGGCCTTTCTGCAGATTCAGCTCTTGTTTATACAGCTGGATATTGTGGTTTGGCCTTTCACAGGTTCAGCTCTAACATTGTATTAAGCAAAGAGTTTCAGCAATCATATTGTATTAAACAATCTTATTATATTAAATTTGATTAACAAACAATAGCAATCTGTTACAGCCCCGAACAAAGGCAGGGTGAGGGGTTTTGAGGGACAGAACTAGGGTGGAGTTCAGAGTCAAGGACCACTAGAAACATAACAAGGGAGAAACCCCAGGGGCTCAAACCCAACTCCTCTGGGCCGCCCTTCACCAGGAGTCTGGAATGGGGCAACTTCATCCAGGCCTCACACAGCCCATCCCCCAAAGCAGGAGGTCAAAATTCACACTAGCTGAGCATTTCAGCCCTGCCTCCCCTTTAACAGTACTTATCTGAAACCAAATCTTTGCCTTCTTGGGGCACCTCACAATAATTGCTCCCTTTTTTTTTATATATATATATATCTCAAATTTTGATCAGGAGCTTAAAATGTTTCTAAAACTTACACCATAAAAATCTCCACTCCCTCAAAAAGCACCTACAGGCCATGCACACCCTGAGACCCCCTGCAATTTCCCAGTCTCCAGCTAGATCAGATCTAGGGACTGTTTGGAGAAGGGACCAACCGGGGACAATCCTGAAATCCTGGGTGTTTGCTGATCTTTATCCATGCCTTTCACAAATATTGCCTCCTGAAGATGGCACCTCCACAATGAGGAACAGCCCCATCTGATCCAGCTCTCCCTCTTCCATTCTCCAGGAATGAAACGAGAGCCTGTGCAGCAGGAAACAATTCCCTGAAGGAAGCAGTGATTCTGTGCCAGACTCTGCTGCAGGAAGGGAGGCCATGCCAGGCACAGTAAAACAAGGTAATTGCTGTGCCTCTGGGCCTGAGCCCTGCTGAGGCTTGAGCTGCCACCTCTGCTGCTTGGCAGTGCCTGCCCTTCAGGGATGTTGCACAGAGCATGGAAAGGGTGTTGAGAGTGACCAGGAGGCAGCCCAGAGCTCCCCTGGCCCCTCTGCAGCTTTGGCCATGTCCATTCAGGACAGATGTGGCTCCCACAGCCTTACCCAGCCCCACTGCAGTGCCCAGTTCCCTAAGGCTGAAGGATATCCCAGAATACCCTAAAAAAGGTTCTCATCTGTGCACCCTTCCAGATAAGGTTGCTGGCAAGGCTTCTCCATTAGCTTGGCTATATAAAGTTTTGAAGCACACTGGGCCTCCTGCAGGTATGTTCTCAGTGTCCCATGGAGGAATAATCATTGACAGCCTGTCAGGGACCAGGTGACAGAAGCTTCTGTGGCTGTTGAGTTACAGGTGTGTCTGCAGGGAGGACTTTCCCAGCTCCTTTGCTGATTAGTGTGCAGAAGCCCCACTTCCATCGCAGGGGTGAGTAGTGTGTCCCTGCTGACCCCACAGGATGAGCACTGGTTTTGTGGGAACCACTGGGAAATGGAAATGTTTTCTGTTGAGGTCCTCTGAGTGACAAACGTACAGGAGAGAAGGAATCACTGGAGTCAAACAACATCTGGAAACAAATTGTGGAGGAACTGCAGAAAGGGCCTGGTGGGTTCATGTCCCCCTAAGCCTCCTCCTGAGACTCAGCAGCCAGGGGCTTTCTCTACCCATCAGGACACGCTGTGCCCTGCACGGCCCCCTGCTGCTTTCATGCCCTGCAAGGCTCATGAAAGCTGGCCTGGCTGCAGCTTCTCCCCAGCCTCCACAGGAAGGCATTTGGCATCAGCTGACAGGGAGCCCAAACTGCAGCACAGGCCGTGCACACCCTGAGATCCCCTGCAATTCCCCAGTCTCTGAGCAGATCAGAAAGGGCAGCTGTTTGGAGGAGGGAGGGCCCTGGCCCAGGCCAAATAACCTGGGCACTTTCCTGGTCCCTGTCACTGATAAATACTGGCTCCTGAAGATGCCACCACCCAAATGGGGAACAGTTCCATATGATCCAGCTGGCTCCTTTCTTTCTCAAGACATGGACATACAGGTTCTGTGGAAGGCAGCATTTCCTGCAGGCAGCGGTCACTCGTCGGCAGCCTCTGCTGCAGGAAGGAATGGGATGGCACACATGAGTACGGGCCCAGACACAGGAGGTAATTGCTGTGCTGGGCTCAGCCCTCGGCGGGGCTGTGTGCCAGCAGCTCTCCCCCCAGGGCCGGCCCTTGCACAGTGCGGCGGCAGCCAAAGCTGGAGGTGCCTCAGCTCCGAGGCCTCTGGAGCTCGTTCCCAGCCCTTGGGAAATGGGACTCATGCACCAACATCACTCCCTCTGCAGCTGCTCCCAGAGCTGGTCCTGAGTGCCCAGAGGCCCAAGGCACAGGAGCAGGGAGTGGGAGCCCTGCTGAGAGCCCAGGGCCACAGCCAGCCCTGGCACACCATGGGAGTGATTCTCATCTTGGTTTACTTCTAGATTTGGTTGCTGGGAAGGCTCGTTCCTTAGCCTTGAGATATGAAGATTTGAAGCCCTCTGGGCCACCTGCAGGTATATTCATTATATATATTATTATTATATATATAATAAGGAATAATCATTATCAACCTGTCAGGGACCACGTGACAGAAGCTTCTGTGGCTGTTTTAGTTACAGGTGTGTCTGCAGAGAGGATTTCTCCAGCTCCTGGGCTGGATGCTGCACACAAGCCTGACTCCCATCCCAGCGGTGAGTAGGGTGTCCTTGCTGACCCCACAGCCTGAGCACTGCTTTTCTGGGATCCATTCCTGGGAGGTTGAAATATTTTTTCTTAAGTTCCTCCAACAGAAAAGACCAAACACACCTCAGAGAAGAAATCCCAGGAGCGATTTGAAGTCATGTGGAAAATGCTGAAGGAATGCTACAGGGAGGACAAGGTGGGTCCATGTCCCTCAGCTTTCTCCTGACACTCAGCAGCCGGGGGCTTTCTCTGCACATCTGGACACGCCGTGCCCGGCACAGCAGGAAGGGATCCATGGCAGCCTCGCTGCCCCACTGCTGCTTTCACAGCCTGCAAGGCTGTTCCCCAGTCTGGCCTGGCTGCAGCTTCTCCCCAGCCTCCACAGGAAGGCATTTGGCATCATCTGACAGGGAGCCCCAAGTGCACCACAGGCCATGCACACCCTGAGATCCCCTGCAATTTCCTGATCTTGGGGTAGATAAGGAGGGGCAGCTGTTTGCAGGAGGGAGTGCTTTGGCCCAGCCCCAACAGCCTCAACATTTTCCTGATCCTTAACCATGCCTTTGACAAGCATTGCCTTCTGAAGATGCCACCTCCCCAGTGGGGAATGTTTCCATCTGATCCAGCTCTGCCTCTTCCTTTCTGCAGAAGTGGATGAAGAGGCTGTGCTGAAGGCGGTGTTTCCCGGAGGAAGCAGTGGTTCACTGGCAGCCTCTGCTTAAGGAAGGGAGGCCATGCCAGGCACAGTCCCAGGAGGTAATTGCTGTGCCTCTGGGCCTGAGCCCTGCTGAGGCTTCAGCTGCCATCTCTGCTGCTTGGCAGTGCAGGCACAGCCTGGACAAGACCGGCACAGCCCAGAGGAATTATCCCCAGCAGGCTCAGGACACTCGGCTACTGAGCAGTCCTGTTGGGCTCCCTGCATGGGAGACACGTCCCAAAACCCAGCAGTGGCTGCAAAAGGGTGTCCATGGTGGGGAATGGGCAGAGGGGGAGGTCAAGGCTCCACTGCATCCTGAGAGGGCCTGGCTCTGTCCCCTTGGGCTGTAGGAGCTGTCCCAGCAGAGGGAGGGCAGGAGGGATGGAGCGGGGAAGGGATATTTGTGGCACTGCCTGCTGTTGTTTTCCCCAGGGCTTTAGGGAGGGTTTTCTCTTTGGGAGGGGAGAGAGCTCCCAGGAGCCCCCGGCTACCCCACTTTCCTCTCCAGGGATGTTGCACAGGGCATGGAAAAAGGGTGGAGAGTGACCAGCAGCCAGCCCAGAGCTCCCCAGGCCCCTCTGCAGATTTGGCCCTGTCCATTGACACATAGCTCCCATGGCCTTACCCAAACCCCTTGCAGTGCCCAGTCCCCTAAGGCAGAAGGGGATCCCAGAATGGACTGAAAAGGGTTCTCATGTGTGCTCCGTTGTAGATTGGGATTGTGATATGGATTATGTGGAAGCCCTGGTGGAAAATGGCTTGAAATTCTTGGAGGATGTTGGAGGCAAGTTCTCAATTCCCTTTTTACTTACAGAATAATCAATGTCAAGGTTGCAAGAGCTCAGCCATGTGCCATTTCCCTTAACATAATCTCAGGGGTGATGGATTCTGGAAATCTTGTCCCACTGCCTCCTGCAGCCTGGAGGGATCCCACAGGATCCCTGTCAGTGGCAGGAAGGAGCATTTAGCTGTCAATCTTCTTCCCATGTGCAATACCAGTGTCTCTTTCTGCGTGCTCTGTGCAGCCACGGAGAGGAGCAGAGAGGGAAGGGGCCAGGCCCAGGGCTGTGCCCCGGGCCTGTGCCTTGCACGGCTCCGTTGCTGGCCCCAGGGACCCTGAGAATCTCCTATAGAGCCACAGCAGCTGTTCTGTCCTGCCTTTCTTTGCAGCCAAGCCGCTTGGTGAAGGTGATGCAGCTTCTCAACCCACACCCAGGACTGAGCCTCAGAGAGGTGGTGAGGGTAGGTCAAGGCCTTTCCCCCAGGGAGAGCGGCCAGCTCAGAGCCCAGAGCTCGGCCAGGGCAGCATCGCTGCAGGTGCCAGGACAGAGCCGTGCACGTGTGTGCCCTTGGCCTGCGCGATCCCCTCAGGGCTCCTGCAGCTCAGAGCTGCCTGTGCAGATCAGCAGAGATGAGAGAAGCTTCTGTGGCTGTTTAGTTACAGGTGTGTCTGCAGGGAGCGCTTCCCCAGATCTTGAGGTGGTTACTGCACCCAAGCCTGGCTCCCATCGCAGGGGTAAGTGGTGTGTCCCTCCTGACCCCACAGGCTGGGGACTGGTTTTTTGGGATCCATTCCTGGGAAATGGAAATACTTTGTGTTAAGGTCCTCCAAAAAGAAAGACCCAAGATAATGGAACCAAAAAGTCTCTATCATCAAATGAT